CGCCTGGTCGGAGCAGCAAGGCAGAGCTGCAGGTTCCTTCCTGCTGTGGCACGGGGAGCCGGGCAAACGCGACCATCTTCTTGGCCATGGGAGCCGCGGGCCCCTTGGCGCGCCGCGCCTGCGGCGTCCGTGGAGGGAGGTCACTCCTCGCCGTCTCTCAACCTTCTCCGTGAAGGCGACGGCCGCGTTCTGAGCGTCTGTTTGCCCGCAGGCTGGACGGCGTTGCACGAGGCGTGCAACCGGGGCTACTACGATGTGGCGAAGCAGTTGCTCGCCGCGGGCGCCGAAGTCAACACGAAGGGGTTGGACGACGACACCCCGCTGCACGACGCGGCCAATAACGGGCACTTCAAGGTTGGTTTTCGCTGGATTTCGTAGCTGTGTTCCGAACGACTTGTTTGGTTTTTTCCCCCCCTCGTGCTTCAAGCAGCCAACTGCGCGATACAGAGACTGCAGTTACTTTATTTCATTACCCTTTGCTGCCGATAGCCGTGTAGCGGGCAAGAACTTCCCTGCCCCGGCGCTGTTGAGTGTTTTACTTGCTGTTCCCCTGTGCAGGCGATAGTTCATTTTTCTCCTTCTGGAGTCAAGGAGGGAGCATGGCTTTGTGTCTTGTTCTTCTCCCTGATTTCCTGCCCAGGTTGGTTCACGTTGCTGGTTTTTGTCTGCTTTCTTACTGGTGACTGTTAGTACCGTAAGGCGTGTCCTGAGGGCAGGCTGCTCGAGGCCATCCCCCTTTCAGTTACGTACGAAAGTCGTGCAAAAAGCCTGGGATCGGAACGTCACGAGCATCTTCAAGTCTCGATTTCTGTTTTCAGGTGGTGAAATTGTTGTTACATTATGGAGGGAATCCTCATCAAAGCAACAGGAAGGGCGAGACACCTTTAAAAGTAGCTAACTCTCCCACCATGGTGAATCTGCTCCTGGGAAAGACCACGTACCCCTCTAGCGAAGAGAGCTCAACAGGTGAGATTGACCTTTACGTGAACGTGGGAGTGATGTTTGTGGCCTGCAGCTGTCTGTTAATACAGAGACGTTAAGAGGACAGTGAAGGTAGACTCTTGTCAGAATATCCGCACGCTGCTGCCACGGTCAGGAGTGCATCTGTAGCGGTAACCCAAATTCAGACAACATAACTACCAGCCTTTAGCTCCGGGAGCTCTAGCTGTTTGCCCTGGAAGCCTCCGTTGAGATCACTTGCCTGGTGCAATCGAGATGTAGGATTGGAAGCCAATTGCAGGTAAATGGCTGTCTTACCTTTCAACTGTGGGTGTGGAGAGAGGAGGAGGTTTGCGTGCCCGTTCCCGTCCCTTCCCG